CTGTGTCTTGAACCCCAGCCAGGGATTCTAAGCCAAGCAGGATGCTGCTACCAGGTTCCAAATCAATAGTATTCCAGCAAAATCCATGCAGATTCTTTCCCACTCATCCCATCATGGTTAGCCACCTTTGCTAGGAATAAGATAGAGGAGACAGAGCAGGAATTGTATCACTTCCTCCCCATTGGAGGGATATCTGATGAGTTTACATACATCTAAAGGGACTTCCCCCCACCCCTTTCTTCCCCTTCTCCCCATCCTACTTTTGTTACCACTGTCCATTAAGCCTTGGTCACAGAGGTCCTGCCTCTGTTTATCAGCCACCTTGTGGTGGCTCATGACTGTCTCAGGACATTAATAGCATACTTCATAGACTTCATCTCCCAGGATGCAGGGAATTATACATGCTGTACAGTCATCCCTTTTTCTTCGACCCCTGGCAAATTCATTGTTTTATATCCTTCCCTGAAACCTTTTACCTCCCTGGTGACTGTGATGTCCTTCCTATTCCTGGCCAAGTTTTCATTGTTTACAGGACTGTTGATTTGCCCATAACTCCTGGTCCTCATCCCTCCCTTCTCAAGGAGAAGTATATGTCTGTGCTTTATAGACTGTTAGGCACTCAGTAGAAGACACACATGTGGCAGACATGATCTACCTGCACTGCACACAGCTGTAACCTTGGAAGGAGACCTACACAGAATGGCTAACTGGGATATCAGGGCTCAAGTTTAGATTGAGATGATCCAGGCATCTCTGTTCCAACTTGCTTATTACTTATTTTTAATAAAATGGACCAAAAATTGGCTTCCTTACACCCCAAGGGAATACATGCATTTGTCAATAGTCCCCTATTCCCTCCACCCACCTGGCACATGGTAGGCTATTTCTAAATATTTGTTGAATGAATGAAAATAGCAGTGAGTTCAGTTTAGGTTCCTTTTTTGTGTGTGTTGGTGTGATCCTTATTTAAATGATGGGTTTAATGAATTTGGCTTCTGTACTGTGGCTCTTTCAGAGCTTGAAGGAATGAGAATAAGATCGAAAATTGAACCTTAAAGTAGGAACATGAAGTATCTTCAGCTCTTATGTGAACAAGCCACCTTTCAGGATTCTGGGCTTAGCCTATCTCCAGGGTTTCCCAGTGACAGGGTTTATTGGGGGATCTGGGTCAGGGGTTTTCAAGGTAAGTGCTGGAGGCTTAGGGGAGGGATGGAGAAGCAGGCCAGTTTCTCACAGTTTCTCTCAAGTCATGGGCTTTGAGGTAAGCTCCCCAGATTCTCACTTGGGCAGGTCCTTGCTTTGCCATCTCCTCCCCTGGACCTTCTGTCAGTCTTCATCTAGTGATTTAATGATGCTGAATCTAGAGATGTAATTTCAGGTTTTGCTAAGAAGATTTGGCCAAGAGACCATGTTCAGATGCACCAGCTCTTTGGCTAAGAGTAATCCCTGCATCCGTCTTTGGCAGGAGGCACTTTGTTCATGGTGTAGCTGCAGAGGTACTCAGAGCCTCTCTCCTGTGTTTGGCTTTTATCCCAATTAACTATGATTGGTCAGAAGTCTCCTGACCAGAGGCCCCTCTTTGGGGTCTGTTCCAGGTGACTCAACTTCTGGATATGCAGTCATCACGTAGGAAAAAAATGATCCAAATGTATGAACAGCATTAAGTGTTCTGACAGTGAAGTAGTGCTTTTCTCTTCCTGGTGTTTGTGTGAAATGATCTGGCAAAATAGATGCTGCAGAAATAATGCATTTCTGTGTCTCCCTTCTCAAATGATAAATGTTCTTGGCTCATCACAAGATTTCTTGCCAAATGCTGATTCTGCTAACAGAAGGAATGGAAGCTTCAGATGTTCTCTTGTGACAGAGGGAATAAAAAGTCCCAGGCTTGCCCTCCTTCTGTGTTATGAACGCAGAGAGCTGTTCTTGGGAAGGGCTGCACTCTGCCTCCACCCCGGTCTGGGCTGTGTTGCTCAGGTCTCTCTCTGGCTGCTGCCTCGAGCCCAGGGGGCAGCCCAGAGGCTGGGGGTGGCCAGCGGAAGAGTATCAATATCATCAGCCAACCTGTTGGAATTTGTCTCTTACATTAAGAGCTTCAGTTCCGGAAGGCATTAGTATGAAAATACAGCACTCACTAGAATCCTCCGTAGCAGAAGTGCCAAGAGGGGAAAACAGAAAACAGGAGCGTGAGGATTTGGAACGGGCATTACGTGCAGGCACTGCACTGGGGGCTTTCACAGATGTCCTCCCCCACCCCCACTCCCCAGGCCCCTGGAAGAGGGGCCTCATGATCCCTGGTGCTATGACTCGGGACACTGAGGCCCAGGAGGTTCAGTGATTTCCTTAAAGTGACATGGCCAACCAGCTAATCCAGACAGCTGCTGTGTCCAGCCGTCAGCCCTCTTGATGTCTTCCAGGGAGCCCACCTTCCATTCCTCTGACTCTTGTCACCTCTCCACCGTGCCATCTCCCACATCCTGACCACTTGGGTCCCTCAGCTCCTTTTCTCTGTCCAGTTTTACTTGCCTCCTACCCTTTCTGCATACTGAGGTTTTTTAAAAGCAAACATGGGATTACTGAGTCTCTCCCACCCTTGAACACTTCCATGACCCTGGCTGTTGCCTATCTCCATAACCCACCCACCTCCACACCCCGCCCACCTACACAAATCAGGATAAGATCCAAAATCTTAATACTAGCCCACTCTGTTGATGGCCTGGCCCTGTTTACTTCTTTGGCCTCGTCTTTCAGCAGAGTCCCCACCTTGGCCATCCATGTGCCAATGAAGTGGAGCAGGGGTAGTTCCTTGAGCCCCAGGCAGCTTCTTGTCCCTGGACCTCTGTCCCTGCTGCCCCCTCTGCCTGGCAGCCTTCCTGCCTGTTTTGTCTCCCCCCTTCCCAGCCTTGTCATCCATTAAGGGTTCTGCAAGTAGGGAGTCACTGCCTTGACCACCCCATCAGGGCACTTACTGTGACGTTGTATCTTCTTAGCCTGTTTACTCATCAGAATACTCCTGACCAGCAGACTGCCAGCTTTCTTCAACTTTGCCCTCCACAGCATCGTGCTTTTGCCTAGTACCCTGCCTGGCGGAGCGGAGACACAGAATAGAAGTGACATGTGCCGGAGATAGGATTCAAATCCCGACTGGCCTGAATCTTTAATGAGGTGGCATGGTATCTCCTCCATGTTTGTCTTTTCCTCTGCCTTCCTTTGTGTGTTTACAGGGACCTGCTGATACTTTCCTAACTCCTTTTCCTGGTTGAAGGACTGCTGCTTTTTTACGAAGCAGATGTAATTGCTAGTGCAGTCCTTGAAGCTATAGGAAATAAAGCGTCACTGCCTACACAGCTGTGGGAGGGGTGGTGGTGGTGGCAAATCCTGGAGGAAGAAGAGTGTGGGGTGAGCTGCCTCCAGGTCTTTCTTGGTACCTTGGAGAACAAAAGACGTTCTGTAGCCCAAACACAGCCAGGGAGTGATTTACAATTAAGGCTCCAGGAACTCCTTTCAGAGTGGGCTTGCTCTTCTCTCTCCGGATGTTTTTATTCTCAAGAGCTATGTCTGCTCCTCTGAGGCTGGGCTCCAAGCTCACCCCCTCAGTGGCCCTCGGAGGGACAGAGTCCCCTGCTGCGATGTCTGGTGTGCTGTGGCTGTGTGAGTAGCTGTAGCCTTCGTCGGACAGGTGATGTCTCCGGTTTTTGGTATTTGACTCTCTTGGCGAGTCCAAGCCACCGTTGGCGACAAGAGCAACGAGATGGGGGTCATGAAGGCAGTGACGTGGGCCCTCTGAAGCAAGTTTGCAAATATTTGGACTGTCGGCCCCTTACCCCCTGCCCCCGAGTTCAAAAGACCTAGCGATTACAAGTCATACCTTAATAAGTTTAAAACTCACTCTAGCCATTTGACTTCCAACGACTGACTAAAACCTCTCAGTGCCTCAGTTGCCCATCTGCAATTTGGGGATAATACCTACCTCTCGGGGTGGCTGTGAGGATTAGACAAATTAATATGTGAAAAGCTTCCGGCCCTGTGCTGAGCCCGTGATACACAGAGGACTCATTTTACTGACTTCCTTAGGCTCTGCTAATGAAGACATGCTGCTTAATTACACAGATTCTAATTGGGACCACATTTCCCTAAAGAAATCTGTTTATTAGGTGCCTATATGCTATTCACACATAACTACAGCTTTTATATTTTCTAATTTCCAAAATAGTATGTTCATTGTAAAAATTAGGAAATACAGGTAAGCAAGAGAAGAAAGAGAACAATCCTTGGTGATCATACGGCCAGATGTGAACATTTGGCATATGTCCTTCTAGCAGGGTGTTCGTGTGTATGGGTATATATGGCAGATTAGTAATTTAAAACACAAAGTTACTGATTATGATCTGTAACATATTGTAACATACTGTGTGTGCACATTTCCTACATTCTTTTACACAATTTGGGATGGTTTTGTGGAATTCTGTTGTACTGTTGTAGTTTCCTTTATCTGGTTGCTGGAGGTCAAATTGCTTGGTTTTGTACAGTAGGCACATTTTTAAAAGTTCTGGATGTATATGACCATCCCAAGCCACTAAGGGCTTGATTCCAGCAAAGTGTAACATTTCCTGGTAAGAGTAAGGCATTGAGCTTTTTGACCCGATTCCAACAGGCGTTAACACATCTTGAAAAGCAAGATGTTTTTTTGCTTATGGGATAACTTCCCCAGGGTGGGGAGAAAGTAGTACAGACTTGGCTCATTGGCAAGGAGGACCCATTGTCACATGTCCTGAGGGGAGAGGACTTAGTCTGGCAGAGGAATAGAACCAGTGAATGGTTACATTTGTCCCAGATCTGAAGTCCTTAGCTTGGCAAGGAGCTTTGCATTGAGATTGGTTAGCTAGGTCACCAGGCACAAGTAGGTCTGGGAGACTAGCCCTCCATAAAGTCACTGGCTCTTTTTCACAGAGCAGATTCAGAGGAAGAGAGTATGCAGGAAGATCTCACCGAAAACTTGGGAGATGGTTAAAGTTAAACAAATTGATTCCTTTCTAGAGGTCTCTTGGGAGAAAAACACATGCAAGAATGGATATGACCAGAATAATGGGGTCCTACCTAAAAACCAGAAGATTCAGGTAAAGGCTAATTGTGAAATGCATTTTATTTTTCTTTATCTTACGGCTCTAGATCACCTTTCATTACAGAATTACTTAAGACAGAGATTTATTATATTGACTCTGTAAATATTAGACTGGCAATTTTGTTTTACTTCTTGAACTTTGTAGTTTTGATAGTGAATCAGCCTTGGGTATAGGCTGGCCTCAGCTGCTGGCTTTTGGAACACATCTGGCAGTCAGCAGAGAACCCCCAGGATTTTTGGCTCCAAAGGCATTGGCTTAAATTCGAACTTAGGGAACATTTCCAGTGATTGTCCTTGAAGTTTTATTCATACACCAGAGGACGCTGTTAGCTTGAGCCACGGTTGGTTTGGCTGGAGCCCCACATCTCAGGACAATCCAGTCAACCTCTTAAGGGGTGGAGAGGTCACCATTATAAGACCCAGAACAATGTAGCTGCATCCCTACTTGCATCCTCCTTATACTGTAACATTGAAATTGTTTTGCAACAAGCTTCATTCAGAGAAGTCTGCTTCATTGTGAGTGTCTGCTGTGGGCTGGTGGGTGAGCACAAGGATGTGTCCCTGTCCCCCAGGCCACACAAGCCCCAGGGCCAGGAGAAATGAGCACAGAGTGTGCTGGAGCTCAAAGGAAAGGCACAGCCTCGTCATCTTGGAGAACCAGTATAGGCTTGTTGAGGAGGAGGGGAAAGCTAGAAGGAGGGATTGTTTTCCAGGTGAGATGCAAGAGAGAGACTCTCAAGACAAACACATAAGATTTTTATGGATGTTCTCAGGGAGCAAGGAGAAGAGTGTCATTTACAACCCATAGTTCGTTATAGGACAATGCGGAGCAGCTCAGAGCATCCTACGAGTAATGTAGCAGATGTCTGTCTTGGTCCAGACTCAGGCAGTCTAGAATAGCATTTTGTATATTTCCTTAGGCTCACCTTAATTCTCAGAAATACCAAGCCCTTAGGCCTGACATTTCAGTCAGAGGCCCCGATGCCCCGTGTGGGGGCCCCTTTCCTGCCCTTCTCACTTCGGCTCTGTCAGTATCTAGGGCTGGGCTCTGAGAACTGTAGTCAGATGCCCTCAGACTCCAGGGATTTCGTTTTGGTCTCAGGGGTCAGAAGGATTCTCTCTTATGTTCATTCCCATAGGGTCATTCCCTCTGTCCTCAAACTCTACTCTTCTCTTTTTAAAACACCCAGTATCATTGCCTCAATGGACTTGGAAACTGAACTCGGAAGGGAAGTGCCTTGGGTGACACACACACACACACACACACACACACACACACTCTCTCTTCCTTTGGGCAAGGAAAAACAGCCTCTTCTCAGTTTACATTTTTTTAAATAAAGAAGGAGAAATGGGGAGAAAATACAAATTTTTATTGTAAAAATGACCTTTCCATTAAAAAGCCATTACATTTTCCACTTCAAAAATGACTCTCAAGGTCTTTAGAGCCAAGATAAGATGTGGAGCCCCTTGTTTTTTCTAAGTAGGAGGCTGGGGTGAGGGGTTAGTAAGTGGTTCAGGTTCTCCTAACAAATAAGGGTAAATATCAAGCCCCCAATAATTTCAGTTCCCCAGCCTTTTATTAGCTACATAAATGTAAGGGATTTCTGTTGCCATTGAAAGTATTTCAAACTCCATTTGGGAGGCATTTACTAATAAACAATATTTCTTTCCAATGGGAACAAAATTAAATCTTAATTAAACCAAACTTTTGGGTCTCAGGACCCCTTTACACTTTACAAAATACTGAGGACCCCTAAGAGCTTCTGCTCATGTGGGTCGCATCTATTGATATTTGCCATATTAGAAATTAAAACTGAGACATTTAAAAGTTAACTAATTCAAGCATAAAAGCACATTACATGTTACCAGAAATAGGTATTTTATGAGAAATAACTGTATTTCCCAAAACAAGCAACAAAAAAAAGAGGAGTGGCACATTTTTTTTTTTTGCAAATCTTTTTAATGGTGAAAGAGAAGACAGGTGAATCCTCATATCTGCTTCTGTGTTCAGTCTGTTGTGATTTTTTGAAATCTGTGAAGAAAATCTGGCTTCACATAGATATGCTGTTGGGGAAAAGGAGGACCTTTTCAGGGGCTGGTGGGCCCCTGAAAGGGTCTCAGGGAACCCTCAGCGGATCTTGTGTCACTTTGAGAACTGCTGATGAAACAGATAAGTCACTAGGGTGTGATAGGTTTTAAATGAAAAATTGTCTTTGAGAATTTGAGTAAATTATGGGTAAAATCAGTCTCTTATGAACAGATAAACCCATTATGAAATACATAAAGTATTTGTTTTTATGGTTTTTGTATTTACTGTACGTTTTGTTTTCTGTGGGCTCATTGAGGGTACATAGGAGGTCCTCAATGAACATTTAGTGGATTGAATTGAGATACTAAAATCCATAGCAAGGATTCTGTCATTATAAAATGTTTATGAGATGCTCTGCCATATGACTTTCTTCAATTTCCATTTCAGTTTAGGAGTTGGCAAACTTTTTCTATGAATAAAAAGTAAATATTTTAGTCTTTATGGGTCATCTGGTCTCTGTTGTGACTACTAAACTTGATTGAATATATAAACAAATGGGTGTGGTTTTGTCCCAATAAAACTTTATTTATAAAAATAGGTGATGGATTGGATTTGGCCCAAGGATTATAGATTGCCTGCTCCTGCTATAATTATACATTACAGTGATAGCCTTGAAACTATTTTTCCCTAAGTCCCCAGTCATTGGTCATGAAAAAATTAAGTTAGTGATGTTTAGGGGAAAAAAACTACACAAGAGTTAAATTTCTTCATTTTTATTTTATGACACATTTGGAATAGTCTGTTTCTAGTGGCATTGGCTGTGGGATAGCTAATGAATCTGGGGCAGTCCTCCAGAAGAATGCCTGAGTGTGGTCAAGTTGGAAGTGTAGAATGTTGATTTCAAGAACTGAAGAGGATGGGGCGCCTGGGTGGCTCAGTTGGTTAAGCGACTGCCTTCGGCTCAGGTCATGGTCCCGGCATCCTGGGATCGAGTCCCACATCGGGCTCCCGGCTCGGCGGGGAGCCTGCTTCTCCCTCTGACCCTCTCCCCTCTCATGCTGTTTCTCTCTCTCTCAAATAAATAAATAAATAAAATCTTTAAAAAAAAAAAAAAAAAACTGAAGAGGATGGATGATAAAGAGTTTGATTGCTTTAGGTTTTTTTTTTTTTTTCCTTTCCTGGGTGCTAGTTCAGTTTCTAAGAGAGCCAGAGCCAATTTTCACATTTCTCCTTAGCTGGTTTAGTAATTTTGAAATACAGTCCAGTATCTCCAAATCCAACAGAGGCAGTCCTATCTATTCCTTGTAAGTAGATGTGCTCCGAAATCATGGGTATGGTGTTTTATGCCTTTCCTGTTGCCCTCCTTCCTTACAGAAATACAAAGAGTATGAGAAAGACGTTGCCATAGAAGAAATTGATGGCCTCCAACTGGTGAAAAAGCTGGCAAAGAACATGGAAGAGATGTTTCACAAAAAGTCTGAAGCCATGCGGGTAAGTGCCTCTGGTTTCTGCTCCGTGTTGCCCAGAGACACAGAGGCACCTTCAGAGGACTGGCATTGATGACTCCAGCCCAAGATCAGAGATGACTCAGCTGTTCTGGTAACATGAACATGATAAGAGCATGAATTTGGCTTAGGTTCAGTGGCTGCCTTGGTCACTTACTGAGGTTTGACCTTCAGTAAACCACCCTGCAAGCCTCAATTTCCTCATCTGTTAATGGGGAAAACACACAGGCCGTGTGAAGATCAAACAAAGTTATGATTTTGAGCTACTTAGTACATAAGCAGTGCTCAGTGAATGGCAGCTTCATACTGCCGCTTTGATTATTAATCAAATAAGTTGAGACTTTTTGGTGGTAACTCTGAAATGTCTTAGGAAAAAAAAAAATTTTTTTTTTTTGCTACAGAAATACTGCTCTGACAGCCAGCCCTGGGAGCTTCATGGTGATACCTGTGTGTCCTTATATCTCTACCTTGAAGCAAGTGCTATTTTTTTTTTTTTAAGGAATCATTTGTTTTATTTTTTAGAGAGAGAGAGTGGGAACATGAGTGGAAGGGGCAGAGGGAGAGGGAGAGAGAATCTCAAGCAGGCTCCCAGTTGAGCGCCGAGCCCCATGCAGGGTTCAAACCCAAGATCCTGAGATCAGGGCCCCGAGATCATGACCTGAGCCGAAATCAAGAGTCAGGTGCTTAACTGACTGTGCCATTCAGAGGCCCCAAAGCAAGTGATATTCTTTACAGACATGGTAGCCATTCACATCTCAAACCTCAGAACCTGAAATTAAAATGCAACAGCCCCCCCAAAAGCCCACCATAATTACTATTTTCTGTTTATAAAATGAACACCCCTTTGGTGGAACTTTAGGAATATACTGAAAAGTATCAAACAGAAAAAAAAATTATCTGAAAGTCAGACTTGTGTTCTTGTGTTTCCTTCCTTCCAGTTTTTTAAATTTGCATCTCTATGCATGTACTTGTGTGTTTTTCTTTTTCAAATTTGCAGTTGTATTGCCTGTTTGCTTTTGTGTCCAGCTTCTTTTCAGTTCTCTACACCATTATAGTGTGAGCTGCCCTTGGCATCACTCTAGTGCATGATTTTCTTAAATGGCTGCATCACATTCCTGCTATGGGTGTGTCATGGATGATTTGACCGTTTCTCCAAATCTGGATATTTAAGTTGTTTGCAAGTCTTGATATAAATAATGCTGCAGTGAATCTTCTTGTGTATTAATAATAGATCAAATGACTCAGCACCACTATATGTTTGGTATTCCTCTAAGGATGTTACGTGCACTCGCTTGTCCTTAGAATAGCCCCCAGAGGGAGGTATTTTACTATCCCACTTTTACAGAAAAAGGTGAGAGAGGCAGAAGTTAAGTCCCTTCTCTAGGGTCACACGGGGAGTGAGGGACGGGGTCCAGGCATAGGGACCCAAGTCCACATTCTTCATCACTTGCATGCCCTCAGCATCCTGCAGGGAAATCCCTGAATGCAGAAGCCACTTCAGAGATGCTAACCTCATCTTGAGAGCTCTTTCTGCATTCGAGGACATTCCTGTCCAGATAAGGTTGTGAGGGATCCCAGTTCCTCCAGCAGCAGTGGCATGTGAGTGCTCATTTGCCTGAATCCTCGCAAAAAATGAAGATGTTTTATTTTGTTTTCAATACTAGTAACAATGTTGTCAATTTGAGGGAAGGAAATGCTATTTTTGTTTCAACTTGGATTCCTTTGTGAATCACAGAATTTTAGAGCAGATAAGGACATAAATCTCCTTAGGTTCTGCCTCTGCAATTGACAGACAAGGAAGCCCTGGGACCTGGCACTCTGGTGGGGAGGGGAGGGTGGGAAGGAGCAGGGGGGACTTGTGCAGCATAGCAGGATGACACAGAGGTCCAGCCAGCTCCAGAATCTGGACTTGGCGCTCAGAGGCAGGGGGCCCATGTGGCGTCTGAAAGGTTGGTGAGGAGAACTAAGGAACCAATAGACCTCTTTTCCTCACTTACCTCCGTGGAGATGCTAGGAGGAGTAGGAGACTTACTAATCTGTGCTTATGCTTAGTGAGTCTCGCTGCACCAGGCCCTGTGCTAAGCACTTTTTATATATCATCTCATTTCATCCTGGCGTCCACCCTGGGAGGGAGATGCTGTTCCTGTATCACTGGCTTAGAGATGAACATGCAGGCTTGGGGGGTGGGGGGGAGTCACTGGCCCAGGTCATATGGGCAGGCTCAGGGGAGTTCCTTTTGCATCCCACACGGTAGGATTGCAGTGCCTCTGGGTGAATCTGTGCAAATTGTTTTGCACAGGGACTGGAGAACGGTAAGCTTTCAGTAAATGTTTGCTGTTACATTGCTGGTGAAGGGACCTTTTAGTTTGTAAGTATTTTCATAATGAGAGAGTCTGAAGCTTTAAAAAGCTTCAAGGATGATGACAGGAGGGAACTTAATTTTGAAATCTTTGATTTTAAATTCATGATGTTAAAAAAAAAAAAAAAAGACTGATATGGTTGGTGTGGTTCCTTTGAGAAGGAAAAAAGTGCTTTATTTGGATTAAAATGTACCCAGACTAAAGGCATCCAGGATTCTCTGAACTGTGTATTTTAAAGTAGATGTAAGAGGCCCTTTGGAAACACAGTTGATGCCATAAAATCTGGGTTAACTGGTCCAGTGATATGTGGTACTCCCTGCTCCCAATCTTTAAACGGGAAGGAGGGCTTGTATGTCAAATTAGGGTTTGGTTTGGAGGCAGTTTTGCTGTTGAGATGGGCCTGGTCCCATTGTGGGCCAGGCAGTACTATGGGCAACTGTCATGAGCCTTGTGGCATTGGGAATGAAAGGAGGTGGCCAAGGAGAGACCCCTCCTGGATGTCGCTTTATGTGGAGGCCAAGGAGCAGTGGGTGTGACTATTTTTCATATGATAATGAGACCTCAACTAGGAAAGGTCTTTTTGGTGATTGGTGAGCTTTAGAAGAGCAGACACCTCAAATGAAAATTTGCCTGTAGTTTTGCAGTGTATTCATTATTTGTGCGCACTAGAATGAACCCCAGTGCAACAGGGGCCCTTCCTGTCCCATCCCATGCCTCCCACTGAGCAGGACCCCCTTTCTCAAACAGCCCAAGAAAAGAACGGAGTTTGGAATTTGCGCCATCATTCTGATGCACCAGAAATCTTGTTTCCCAGCCCCCATCCCAGCGACCTGAGTTAGGTGGGAGGTCCTAGTGCCTTCCTGCCCAGCACTGATCCAGGGCCAAGGGCTCATCGATGATGGATGGGTGGGAGGACTCAGCAACATACAGAAGAAAGAACTGTGTGACAAACAACATGGATGTTTAAAATTTCTGTGGATGTCTATAAAATATTTATGAGACTGGCAGTTGCAATTTAGAAAGCGACTCTAACTCCTGTGGTCTGTGAAGGTAGGTGAAGTTAGCCCATCACTGCCGGCAAAGGGAGCAGGACTCGTGATCCAGCCCTTCACATGCCTGTCATCTCTTGGCTGTGAAACAATGTTGATCTTTTCTCTGTCTCTTCTGGCTTGATTTCATCATTTTCCGCCATCACTTTTCCCAGTGATTAGTTGAATCAGAGTGATTTTATCATACTCGTCCCCTGTTTGAATTACTCTTCACTATGCAATTATCCTATCACAGAAAGTCCTATTTTCTCCCTGTCAGATGTCTGGAGTAAATGTGAAACTCAAAGTGGCCTGCGCATTACATAACCTCTGTCATCTGGTTGATAATGGACTATATGTAACTTTTTTTTTTTCAGCCTAGCAAATTATAGATAACCTTAGTTTCCATAATTGCCATTATGTCTTAACTAATATTTTCTGGCACTTTTTAACACCACTGGTGGTTTAAATAATTTTTTCAAATCCACTCAGAGGGTTGACGTGTAGGTTATTTTAACTTAAAAGCCAGATTGAGTTTGATGCAATGATGCTGCTATTTGCTTGTGTACAGGATAATTGTGCCCAAAGCATTCTCTCCCACCTTCTTTGTTGGAAAATATTCATGCTTACCAAGCCCTCAGTTGATGTTGCTGAGCAATTTATCAAGTTTGAAGTCCTCACAAATGGACAAGAAATGGAATCAATTTGCTTTTTAGTTCATTAACATCTCAAGGAAGACAGTCCACATGCTGGACGTGGAGGAAGTGGTACCCATCAGTCCTCTGCCAGCAGTGGACCCCTGGGGGGGGGCATTCCTAAGTGACACCTGGAAATGCTCAACTGTGTCACTAGTCAGAGCTCATCTGAAGTATTGATGGGAGGCACATTTGACCAGCTCCCCTTCCTCCTGAGCTGCTGATGATTGGAGGGGAGTGAGAAGCCGAAAGATGGCCTTCCGTGCGGTCATACAGACAGGCTGCCCCAGCATTTCCTTTGTCTTTAAAATCCAAGCCACCATTGGGAGTAGCACACGCCATTACACAGCTGGAAGGATCATCTGAGGCCCCAGGGAGCTCTGAGCGGGCACAGACAAGCCTGAACTTGGAGGAGAATCTGTAGGGAGTCATTCTGCGTTAACTGTGGACATCTCTGATTCTAGGCATATACTTTTAGGACAGATTCCAACGCAGCCGGGGGATGGCATGATCCTGTGATTTTGGAACCGTCCGTATGATCGAGAAGAGCAGCACAACCAGAAAAAAGTAGATAAACCAGGAAATAACAAACAGAAGGACTTTGGAGAATTTTTAAGTATATCCTAGTATTCTCTACAGTGGCTTTCTAAGGGTGAGTTCTCCAGAATGGTGATTGCCTTTCATCTTGTGGAGGAGGTCTGGGGCAGGCACTGCCTTCTTCACACTGATCTTGGCCAGAATCGTAGCCTCCTTCTGGCTTCAGAGTTGTTCCTGCTTTGGGGGCCACGAGTCCATTCACAGGACATTCACTGATGCACTGGACAGAGTTCGGGCCTCCACAAACTTAAACACGTTTCACGCACAGAGAGAGGATTGTAGGATGCTATCTATTTGGGTAGCCTA